CTGGAACTGTGTTAATGAGCAGGAACTGTGTGAGAATGGATGGTCAGTGCTTGTAAACACTGTCCCTGCAACAGGAGAGTTGTGCCTCACTCCGCCTGTGTGTGACCTTTAGTGAGTCACTTAATCTTTCTGGGTCTCAATTTCCCCCCTCTGCCCAACAGAGCTCCAGAAATGAAGAGGGTGGCATGCTCTGATAACGTGTTATGTGATAGCTCATGAAGTTCCTCAGACAGATGATAGCTGGGCAAACATCTCCCTGATATGGAGAGTGCATCTCCAGCCCTCCAGAGAGATCCCTGCCAGCGCTGCCTGGGGGGGAAAAGCCATTCCTCAGATGGAATTCCAAAATAAGCAAGTCAACAGCAAGGGAGAGTCCAGGCACCTCCCACTATCCTCTCCAGAGCATCCCAGATGGTTCCAGGTGTAGCTGTCTCAGGGTGGGGCTGGACTTGAAGCCCACAAGGGTGACAAGGACCATGACAGGGGCTTGGGACAAGGCAACCTTTAAGGTCCCTTCCAACCCAAGCCGTTCCAGGATTCTGTGATCCTTCAGCAACACTTGCTCTGCACACACCAAAGCATCTTGTGCAAAAAACAATGAAGCCTCATGAAAGGAACCAGTTTCAAAGCAGGAAACTGCTGGAAGAGAGACCTTTTCTTCTTCTCCATCTCTACGTCCCCATAATTTTGTATTAAACACTCAAGACAACTGTGGTTATACATGGACTTCAGGCAAAGGTTTGTGGAAGGATGAAGGGAAAAGGCAGTGAGAACATGATAATTTTTTTTCCTAGGGTAACAGCAGCCCCTTTTAATTGTGCCCCTTGGATCTGTAAGACATGCTTGACCAGACATACCTCAGGAAGAGGTCAGCACTCCTGGGATTAAGAAACTTAGCAACGCTCCAGAGAGGGAGTTGGAAAGTCATGTTTAATGATACTTGGCTGAGAAACTAGGCAAATTTAATTAAAACATCACTTACTCAAGCCCAGTGGAACTAATTGAGTGCTCTAATATTCCGCCTTTTCATTAATGGGTTACAAAAGAGGGCTGCACTTGTGTGTACAAGGGGGAAAAGGGGGGAGGATGGAGAGAAGATGAGAGCTTTAGCAAGGCTGCCTGGGCTTCATTTAATATAACTCAGAAACTTCATTGCTGACCACGGAGCTTTAATACAGTTGACTTCTCCCCCATCCCCTCCACACACACATCTCCCCCCAAAAAACCCTCTCCACCCAAGACCCCTCGGAAAGAATGGCTGAATGAGGGAGAGTAGATCTGGCAAAGGAAGGGAAATTGCTTTTTTAATAAGTGGTCTATTCAGAACTCCCGCTTTTCAATAAAGAGAAGGCTGGAGAAGTCCTGGTCTAATTACCTCATCCTCACACTAGACAAGCTCACCCTTTCATTAACCACTGAGGTCATATCATATAACTTGGTGAGCCACCATGGGCACAACATGTTCAGTGATTATTTCACTGGTGGCAGCAAAATTACAGGCAGCCCATCAAGGTTGTAAAAAAGCAGAAGTAAATTCATAATTAAATGAGAACGTCTACCAAGAGACACTAAAACTAGGCGGGATAGGATCATGTCACCCTTGCAGAAATACAGGGATTGTTTGCTGGTGTGACACCATGGAGAAACTGGTGTGGTGACCAGGAGGGGAGAGGGTTGCTTGCCAAATTAGTCAGTCCAGCACAGGTCCTTTTTTTTTGCTGGGTCTCAAGGGACTATTTGTATGTTTTGCCATGGTGGGGAGTAATTAGATGGGAGAAATGACACGTAAAGAATCAGTGAGAGACCACCAAGCTTGTGCTGTATCACTCATAGAGACTTCTCCACTCCCTCAGTGAACACACACATCCACACGCTGCAAGAACTCCAGCTCCAAACTGCTCAGCTCCAAAATGGCACAAAAATCAAGGCTGTCTGCACCCCTCTACTGCCTCTGATCCACCCAAAATCAAATCTAGATTGGTTATTGTTCCAATAACTACACTAGGTGAGTCCAAAGGGGTTTCAGACTGCTGCAGTCACTGGGTGAGCAAACCCTGCTTGATAGTGGCAAAGTCTTTATGGCAGGAGTTGGTTGGTGGGCAGCTTCTTTAAAGGCACAGAAAATGTGCTGAGAATCGTCTTTAACTCACTACCTTCCACAAGGAAAATATCCACAAACTCAGCAAGGAATGCAGTAGTGCCCTCAGCCTCCATCCTCTCATCCCTGCACTTGCAGTGGGAACAGGAGGAGGAACAGAGATCAAACCTGGTATTAATCCACACCTGAGAGCAAGCAGTGCCAAAGATAATCCATCCACCACATCAAGAGGGTCAAACTGGTTTCAATATTCTGGAATCTGAACCAAGCACTGCAAGTTTGGACTTTGTAGTCACAAAGCCAGCCTGGGTCCTTATCTCTGATCATCATCTTAGTGACACTGAATTGTGCCAGGGGTTTGGGGCCACGTATCCCAACCGTACAGATGTGTTCTCCTGATCTTCCACCACCACCCTCCTGAAAACTTCCTCCTCAACATTCCCTCCCTCTCTGCCTGGCTCCATGGTGGAGCTGTGAGCCTGCTGGGCTGCTTGGCTTGGCTTTCAACCACGCCATGGCCCAATGAATTATTATATCCAGCAGCACAAACAGAGAAATCATTTCAACTGCTGCTGCAAACAGGCAAAGGAAAGCTGTCACACAGCAATCCCAACTCGACAGGGACGTTGTGGGTGGACAAAAATAGGAGCAGTGGATCACTGACCTGCAGCAGAGGTCTGTGACTTGGGTTGCCAGGAGGGCTCTGGGTGTCTGGACAACCGTCACAACTGTTACTCAGCTGTTCAGCTGCAGATACCACACTGAGAAACCACTGCCAGTGGCCACAGTCCCACTGTGCCAAGGGGAGTGGAGGCAGAGGATGCTGGAGAGTCCTGCATCTTCCCCTGGGAGCTAACTCGCAAGGATCAGGACACGGAGGGGAATGTTCAACCTCTCCCGCTCATCCTTGGAGTTTGTTTAGCTCAGAGTCGTGCAGTGCAGAGCACAGATGATAATTAAGGACACAAATCCTAAATCCAAGAGTGGCCTCAGCCATATGGACATCCTGACTGCAGCTCCTGGGATTGGGAACACTGGGAGTTGGGCCAAAGCCATCTGGGAGGTTTTTAGCCCTGCCACTGTTGGTGGATACCCCTGGAGCTACAAGGACATGCCAGTGGCAGCCAAAGTCACATCCTTGGAGGTTTTGATGAGACTGTATTGTGTGACTCTGGAATGAGAGGAGAGCCAGGACATCTCACAGAAACATCCAGCATGGAAACACAGCCTCCAAGGGCCACCTTCTCCACTGCTATCCCATCTGCTACACACTCAACTGCAAAAGATGGGAATGGAAGGACAATGAAAGGAGAGCCAGGACATCTCACAGAAACATCCAGCATGGAAACACAGCCTCCAAGGGCCACCTTCTCCACTGCCATCCCATCTGCTACACACTCAACTGCAAAAGATGGGACAGAGCAACCAACACCAGGGTTGAGACAAGTTCCCTGCAAAGCCTGTTTGACACGTCAAAGAGCTGCCACAGGAGTTCAGAGACACTGAGCCCTTTAATCCAGAGCAGGAAAGCTGTCAGCCAAAACCAGACACCAGCTAAATCCAGGATATTTCTAATCCTGATCTCAGCGCTGTCTAGGAGCATCTGGTAGTGGGGAGAGGGGGAGACTCTCTGCTGGCCAGCCCTGGCTGGTGGCATTCCCCGATGCCCCAATTCCGTTGCGAGGAATGACATTTTATACATAGACACAGCAACAACTGAGCTGGGGTGGCCATTCCTAGAATGCACAACTGGCTGGGCTGCATTTGCCTGGGAAACTGGAGACCCAGGTCCCCCATCCCAGCCCCAAGCCTGCATCCAATCACACAGACAATAACAAGGCTCGAGGGCTATTTCTGGCCTTGCAGTATGTCCCCCTTGGAGGTTGGTGCAATGAAACACTGATCCTAAGCACCTGTGCTGGCCAATCTGAGGGATTTTCGTGTTGGAGCAACTCTAGGCTAGGTACAGCCAAGCATTTTATGGGAGAAGGTGGAAAGCCTCTTCCTTTTCCCCTTGCTGGGATGACCCAGCACTCACAGACACTTTGTCCTTTACATCTGTCACGGAAAATGCTGAGCTGGAAAGGGACCCACAGGGATCATCGAGTCCAAATCCCAGCCCTGCATGGGACAAACTCAAAAATCACACCATGTGCCCCAGAGCATTGTCCAAATGCTTCCTGAACTCTGGCAGTCCTGCAGGGAGGCCCCTAGGCAGCCTCAGAGGAGGTGTAAAGAGCAGGAAGAGAGGATAAAGATGGGAAAAGAAAAAAGGGACTCTACAACCAAGCACCGTCTCCCGCTCTAGGTGACACAGGAGGTTTCTGTGCTCTAGGTGACACAGAAGGTTTCTGCCAGAAGGCAAAACTGAAGGGACCATTAGGTCTGAGGTCAGCCAGAAATTAATCTCTCCACCCTGGTTCCCTGCCAGCTGTTTCTCCAGCCAGTTTTAAAGAAACCTGGCCAGGGAGATGCTACACTCTCTGTGCTCTACTGAACTGCTGCAAGAGAAGCGTCCCTCAAGGACATGTTGTAGCAGCATAAAACCTTTCCTCCATGTTCTACCTCATGTAAGCCTGAGAAACCTGTCTTTCCATCCCTTTGTGGTGTGAAACCCTCTCCTTCCTGTGGGAAACCAGCAATCTTTGTCTCCGCCTCATACTTCCTAAACCTGGCCAGTCCCATTTCTTTCCCTCTGGTCTCTCTCCGACGGTTTTGCACAGTAAAAACCAGGGCATAATCCCACAGCTCAGCCTTCTCCCCTCCAGAAGGAGCACCACTCCATCCATTTCACCTCCAACACTCCTATTCCACACCCAAAACCAGCATCATTCCCCCAAAAACCTCACAGCAGCCTGACCTCCCCCACCACCACCACCACCCCGCGGCGCCTTCAACGCACCTTCATGCCCACCAGGTTGTTGTGGAAGTCCACCCTGGCTCGCAGGTCCTTGTTGGGCTTCCTCCCCAGGAACTCCTTGACGAACTTGTTGCTGTACTTGAGGTTGTCCCCACAGCCTCCCCACTGCCAGGCCTCCCTGTTCTCCAGGTCGGGGGCCTCGTCGCAGGTGCAGCGCTCCATGCGCCCCGCGCTGCACGCCTTGGCCATGGCGTGGGTCAGCCCCGCCGAGGAGATGGCGTACAGGAAGGCTGTCTCCTTGAAACCTGCAGGGACAGCAGGGACAGGCTCTAATTGCAGCTTAAAGAAAGGAAAAACACCCAGGAAATGGAGGTAAAACCTATCGGGAGAAGAGCGTGAGTTGCGTCATGGAGTGAGAGAGTGGTAAGGTTGGAAGGTGCGGGAATTCACAAAATCAGAGGGTTTTGGGAAAGTTGCAAAAAGCAGGCCTCAGAGGCAGTAGAACTGTGATTAGAGCTAAGCAGCAGCCATGAGATTGGTCAGCAGAAAAATTATTTAAACTGTAGAAAAGCAAAGACAAATAGAACAACGCTCTGTGTATTAACGCTTGTGTAGAATAACTCTCTAAGCTGCAGAAAAGTTTATCTAGTGAGATATTAGGAAGTTTGAAGCTTAATAATGGAGCTCTGTGCATTGTGTTTTAAGGCTTACCAGCAGGTATTGTACTTGAAATAAGCAAGCATTGTTCAACCACAGGTACCTGTGGTTATAGTGATTGGATAGAACTACTGTCAATGTGCTTTTGCTTTGTGTGATTGGTCAAAAAACTTAAAAAGTGAGTTGTAACATTAAGTTCTTAGTCTGCTGCCTGGGATGTGAGCTGGTGGCATCTTCCCATTGCCATAACCATGGAATGAGACTGATGCTGGAAAATAAAACAGCTCAAGGCACGTTCCACAGCAGGCCTGTCCCGTTTGTGATTTGTACACAGCCCCCAGCCGGTGACAGAAGGGACCATGGTGGGGCACCTGGTGGCACCTCCCTGCTCCAACAGGGCCATCCCACAGCACAGGGCTCAGGATTACATCCAGACTGCTCTGGAATATCTCCAGTGAGGGAGACTCCACACCAGTGCTCAGTCACTGCCCAGGAAAGAAGTTCTTCCTCAAGTTCAGGTAGAATTCCCTGGGCACCCGTTCCTGCCTGTTCCTCCTGTGGCACTGCTGGGCACCTCTGGGAAAAGCCTGGGCTGTGCCCTCCTGACTCCCTCACAGAATGGGAAGCTCTATTTGCATCACTGATGGTGGAGAGGGCACGGGGGAGGGCAAGGAATGACGGACAGAGGTGGCACAAGGATTCAGGAACACACATGGAATCTGGCCAGCTCGGTGGCTGTCACTCTGTGTCACTCACAGTCTCTGCCTGAAAATGGAAAGAGTTAAGCAAGTGTTGCCCCATCCTTGGAAGCATCCAAGACCAGGCTGGGCAGGGCCTGGAGCAACCTGGTCTACTGGAATGTGTCCCTCCCCATGGCAGGGCGTGGAACTGGACGAGCTTTAAGGTCCCCTCAAAGCCAAAGCTTTGACTCCATGAAGTGTTGGACAGGACATGGAGGTACCTCTGCTGCTACCAAGGGGACACCAAACTGCAGGAGCCCAGCAGAGGCTTCCAGTCCTCCTCACTCTTCCCTCTCCTCCTGAATCACTGGGTCCTACTCCAGACTGGCAGAATTGTTGACAGATGACACCTGAGGGCTGGGAAGCAGGAGATGTGTCACCTAACACAGCACCTCACTCAAAAAAACCCAGTTTACACCTCAAACCTCCCATGCACGGCCTTTCTTTACACCTCCACACTCACCTACAGGGTGACAGCATCCACACTCCCAACAGGCAAATGACACCCAGAGGGAGCCACGGTTTCAATCCAAATTATAAAAGCCAGAAATAAAAAGCAAACATGGCAGTATTTATAGCTGCCCATTCCCCAGCTATGGAAGCTGTAAACGACTGCATATTTGAGATGCAATTCCAGAACAGCTTTGGATGGGACTCAAGAAATCCCCCACTCAAAAATAACACAAGTGGATGGTGACAGTAGTGGATATATCTGTGAGCTGGTGTGTCAACCAAGGACATGCAGAGACACTGCCAGGTCATTTTTGGAACTGTTCCTTGGGAGGTTTATGACACTCCAAGCAAACTCATGTGTCCATTCCCAGAGTCTGCCTTCCCAAAACACTCCCAGGAGCAGGAAGACTGAGGAAAATCCACCCCAGGAGACTGAGGCTTGGTCCTTCCAAGGGTTCTGAGGTTCCACTTCCTCCCAGACTGTGGTAGGAATTATCCAATCATTCTACTCCTCACCTGGAAAAGGAGAACAGGAACCTTTTCCTCACAAGAAACGACACTAAAATAAAGATTCAGCTCTACACTCACAGAGGACACCGCAAAGAGTGGTGAGGGTTAAAATAACAAATTTTGTTATTTTAATATTCTGACAGCCCAGAAACACCTGCAGCACTGCAAATACTCCATTGGAGGTGGTGAGAGAATTCTCAATTCACACAACAACAAAAACTCATGGGTACCCAGATGACTCCCCTGGGTAGAAAATGCCTTCTAAGCATCTCTCATCCTTTGTAAACTATGATTTTTCACTAAAATCCTTTGGTTTTTCTAGGTTACACCCCAGGTCAGACTGCCCACATGCCTGTCAGAGGGATGCCACTACCAAAGAGAGCTGTGCTCCTGGATTGGAGAATTCTTGCCCAGCTAGACAGAATGAAGAGGCACCAGTGTCAAACAGAGAATCCTCACTGGGATGGGGTGTGCAAACCCTGCCCTGGAGCTCTGAGCCTGCAATCATGGCATGGTTTGGGTTGGAGGGACCCTGAGATCCATCCTGTCCTGGGCAGGGACACCTTCCACTATCCCAGGTCACCTCAAAGCCCATCCAAGCTGGCCTTGCACACTTATTTCCCAGCCATCAGCCTTCTAAGCTTCTCTCATCCTTTGTAAACTGTGTTTTTTCACTAAAATCCTTTGGTTTTTCTAGGTTACACCCCAGGTCAGACTGCCCACATGCCTGCCAGAGGGATGCCACTACCAAAGAGAGCTGTGCTCCTGGATTAGAGAATTCTTGCCACAGCTAGACAGAATGAAGAGGCACCAGTGTCAAACAGAGAATCCTCATTGGGATGGGGTGTGCAAACCCTCCAAACAGAGAATCCTCAATGGGAAGGGGTGTGCAAACCCTCCAAACAGAGAATCCTCATTGGGATGGGGTGTGCAAACCCTCCAAACAGAGAATCCTCAATGGGATGGGGTGTGCAAACCCTCCAAACAGAGAATCCTCATTGGGATGGGGTGTGCAAACCCTCCAAACAGAGAATCCTCATTGGGATGGGGTGTGCAAACCCTCCAAACAGAGAATCCTCATTGGGATGGGGTGTGCAAACCCTCCAAACAGAGAATCCTCACTGGGATGGGGTGTGCAAACCCTGCCCTGGAGCTCTGAGCCTGTGGTTTGGGTTGGAAGGGATGCTGAGATCCATCCTGTCCCTGTCCAGGGACACCTCCCACTATGCCAGGTCGCTCCAAACCCCATCCAAGCTGTCCTTGCACACTCAGCTCCCAGCCACCAGCCTGAACTGCTGAACTGGGCAGCCCAGCTCTCCACCCTGCTGAATCCAGAGCAGTTGTGGAATCCCAGCAGAAAGTCAGCGCCGTGCGACCACGGCGCATTCCAGACCTGACAGAAAGCCAGCAGGAGCAGCTCATCTGCCAGCTTCTCCCCTTGCACCAGCTTTGTCTCCACTCCTCCCCTTCTCCAGCACTGAGAGCTTCCCAGATTCCCTGTGCCCATCAGCACGGGGATCATCTCACAGCTCCCAACGAGCTCCATGTGACATTTGGCTCTGGCCAGATTTTAAAGCCATCTCCACCACGCACTATTTGATTGCACCAAGATATTTTGTAACAAGATAATGAGCTTTAAATCAATGCAGGCATTCTAAGCCCCGGTGCATTGACAGTCTGCCGGGCCTGGCTATCCAGTTTCAGCCATTTCCAAAATTGTGCACGAGTATCCAAAGAGGATAACGAGTCCCTTAAACAATCCCCTGTTATTTTAAGAAACGGGGGCTGCATCAGCCCAAGCTGCAAACCAGCAGCCAGGGCTGGTCTGGTGACCAAAGTGTAAAAAAAGTTTCTGCTTTTAAGTGAAAAAAGTGTGAGTTTTTTCCCCTTTTTTTCCTTTCTCCCTGGACGAGGAGGAGAAACAAGCCCTCAGTGATGGATTTGGAAAGCTGTGTCCTAGTGGGTGATACATGCCAGCCTTTGCCCTGGGGTACCACTTGCTGCAATGCTGAGCCAGGAACCAGCAGCTCCCGCAGAGGAGGAGGAGGAGGAGGAGGAAGATTTACAGAGCACTGTGTTACTGCTCAGGAACACCACCTGAAGGATTTACAGCAGCGGGGCAGGGCAGAGATGCTGCAGGGATATAAACCACGGCAGAATGAGACAGCAGCAGAGCCCCGCAGCCCTCAGAGCTCTCATTTATCACCCAGATCCCTGACAAGGGCTGAGATGGGGGGGTCTCTGTGGGGTGTTAACTCCAGGCTGCCCTGCCCAGGGGACAGGCAGGTCTGAAGGAACGAGCTGTGGCCTCCAGGTGTCAGCATGAGAAAGTGCTTGGCTTCCCCAAGGCACCACTAATCCAGGGACTCCTCTGGCATGCAGGGATATTTTTAAATGTCTTGCAGCTCTGGCCGGGACCTCTTGGGTTTCATAAGGACTTTCCTTGTTTCCACCAGTCAGTGACAGTGCATTAGTTAAGCCCCGGTGCTTCTGAATTACTCCTCCTCACTAATTAGCCCTGCAAACCTCTGCTCTTATCTTTAAAGCCTTTCACACCCTGGCTTTTCCAGGTCCAGGCCTATTGCTGAGCGTGGGGTTTTCTGGAAGTCACCAAAGCCCTGGAGCCCCTCGAATGCTGTCTGTAAAATGGTGCTGCAGCCTGGAAATAAGAACTGGATTTTACTGGGAGGGTGGAAGAAACTGGATTATATGTGGTGGTACAAAGAAAAGAACTAAAAACATCACTTTCTCCTCCAATAATCCTAATTTCTGGCCATCTCCACCTGAGCTGCTGGGAAGAGGTGAATTAATTACTCACTGCTCACATCCATGGCAGTAACAGCACACAGCCACTTTTGCCCTGTACTATGACAGAGCTTCCCTTGTCCCCTCTAACAGGACAGCACAGAACAGTCTGGTTTGCCTTATTTCCTTAAAAAAGGCATGTTCTCAACTTCTTTCCTGAGAGACTGGCAATGATAAACAGGAGAAATAAATAGGAGAAATAAACAGGAGAAATAATAAAGAAAGAGGGGACAGCTCTGAGAGCTTCCCAATGCTCTCCTCCAGCAGCAGCTCAGTTTCCAGCAGAAATGGGCAGAAAATGGAACTGCAGAGACCTGCACAAACACCTCCAGCCTCCAAGGGGAGCAGCCAGGGCCAGCAGTGGGAAGCAGAGAGGGCAAGCCCATAAATTACCCCCATTAGCACATTCTCTGCCTGCCCTGCACTTCCAGGGATGAGCTCAGGCCTTGCACAGAGCTCTTGGTGGACCTCAGGGGAAGAACCACCAGCAAAGGATGGCCCAGATTGGCCATCAGGGCAGGAGATGAGAGCAGAGAGCCCCGAGACCCCTCAGACTCACCTGTCTTGAGAAGATCCCCAAGACTCCCCAGACTCACCTCCCTTGAGGAGCCCCCAGACTCATTTCTCTTGAGAAGCCCCCCAGATTCCCCTCTCTGAGAAGACCCCTGAGACCCCCCAGACTCACCTCTCCTGAGGAGGCCCCAGACTCACCTCCCTTGAGGAGCCCCCCAGATTCCCCTCTCTTGAGGAGACCCTTGACATCCCCCAGACTCACCTCCCTTGAGGAGGCCCCACAGACTCATTTCTCTTGAGGAACCCCCCAGACTCATCCCCCAGACTCACCTCCATGAGGAGTCCCCCAGACTCACCTCTCTTGAGGAGCCCCCCAGAATCATTTCTCTTGAGGAGGCCCCCCCAGACCCCCCTCTCTTGAGGAACCCCTCAGACTCACTTCTCTTGAGGAGACCCCTCAGACTCATTTCTCTTTAGGAGCCCCCAGAGACCCCCCCAGACTCCCCTCCCTTGAGGAGCCCCCAGTCTCACCTCTCATGAGGAGACACCTGAGACCCCCCCAGACTCACCTCCCTTGAAGAGCCCCCAGACTCACCTCCCTTGATGAGCACCCAGACCCCCCAGACTCACCTCCCTTGAGGAGCCCCCAGACTCATTTCTCTTTAGGAGCCTCCTGAAGCCCCCCAGACTCACCTGCCTTGAGGAGCCCTCCAGACTCACCTGTCTTGAGGAGCCCCCCAGACTCACCTGCCTTGAGGAGCCCCCCAGACTCACCTGCCTTGAGGAAACCCCCAGACTCACCTGCCTTGAGGAAACCCCCAGACTCACCTGCCTTGAGGAGCCCCCCAGATTCACCTCCCTTGAGGAAACCCCTCACAACCCCAGACTCCCCTCCCTTGAGGAGGCCCGAGATTCATTTCTCTTCAGGAGCCCCCAGACCCCCAGACTCCCCTCCCTTGAGGAGGCCCCAAACACACCTCTCTTGAAGAGGCCTCCCCTCCAGACCTCCCTTGAGGAGGCCCCCTCAGACTCATTTCTCTTGAGGTGGCCCCAGACTCCCCTCCCCTGAGGACCCCCCCAATCCCCCAGACTCCCCTCCCTTGAGGGCCCCCCCCGACGCCCCCAGCCCCACCTCTCTTGAGCAGGCTGGCGCGGTAGCGGCCCTCCAGGGTGCAGTTCCAGCGCTCGAAGCGGAACTGGTACTGGCACTCCAGGGCGCTCATGCTGATGGCCTCCATCAGCGTCTCGGCCACGCCGGGGTCGCGCCGGCACATCCGGCGCTGCTTCTTCTCCAGCTTCAGGCGGTCACACACCTTGTAGTGGGCCTTGACGGCCGCCTCCTCCATTTCTGAGGTCAGAGGGAGGATGGTCAGGGGTTCGTTCCCCGTCAGCCTGCAGAGAAACACAGGGACACCATGGTGAGGGCAGGGGAAACAAAAAATTACTGGAAGGGTTCACAGAATCACAAGGCTGGCAGAGACAGCAAAGCAGAGATGGGTTTAGAGAGACCTTTTGGGCTGGGGACACTCCTGCTGCAGCCTTGGCTGGGCACAGGGAGGAGACCTGTGTGCTCTGGCCAGTGCTTCTGCCCTGCCATTAAAGCCCCTTCCTTCCACAGAATTCCCAGAACTGCCACAATGACCAGGCTGGAAGAGACCTTCAAGACCATCATTGAGGCCTTTTAATAAATCCCTACTTTATTACAGAATCACAGAATCACACAAGGTTGGAAGAGACCTTCAAGCTCATCGAGTCCAACCCAGCCCCAACAGCTCAACCAAACCCTGGCCCCCAGTGCCACATCCAGGCTTTGTTAAACACACCCAGGCATGGGGACTCCACCACCTCCCCGGGCAGCCATTCC